CCCAAGGATCAGAGAATACTACTTTGAAGTCCCATTTGACATGGTGACAGTGAAGATTGGAGCAGAACCTTCTAACTGTCAGTGCCAAGTGCACCTCGATGAGAAGAAAGGACCAAGGTAGCATTTTATAAAAATCTAAGCACTCAAACCACAAATTTGGAGCGAATGGACAGTTCCTGCACTGCAGACTTGCCTTTCAAATGAAGCCTGCTGTTTTTGTTTTGTTCTGGGTTTTTTTTCGTTTTTGTTTTTTTTTTTGGTTGGGCTGCTGGAGGACTTGACTAGTTAGGTCACAATCACTGACATTTTGTCATTCTTTCCATAAAACTATAGGTGGTAAAACAAGCATGAGCAAAATCCCGTTAAATAATGATTTTGGTGTAGGCTGTTGCCACATAATACTACAGAGCTCGGTACTCTAATTTACCGATACACATAGACATGTGTGCAAAGTACTTTGAGATTTTTCTGAAAAAGGCATTATACAAATACGTAGCTATTTGTTGAGAGAGAAGTTTTGAAAGGTTAAATTCCATCCATTTCAGCCATTCTTAGCTTACTGTAGAGCAAAAACCTCTCCAGTTTTGCTTGTCTAGCATACTAAAGGGCTTTCTAGGATGCTGTCATGTTTGGATGGTACACAATTTCAAGGATTAGCTAATGCTTCTAATCTCATTTGTCTCCCTGTTGGCTTAACCACTGACTTGAATCTTCCAGAAACTATTGACTTTAGTGGCATCATCCATAGGTTTCTTGCCAGATTTGTTGTCACTGATAGTGAGTCTGAAGTTCTCTCTCATGTCTAAGTCACAAGGCTAAAATTATGTCTTGAGGTTGATTCTTCTACTATTTTGTTTTGTAATTTAAAAAAAATATCCTTGCCAACCATATTTGATACCATTATTATGAACCAAAATATATGTAAATTGCAGTGGAAAATACAGTACAGCTCTAGCCTGATTTAATGTTGAGCCTGTCTCATTTATTGTTTTTCTTTGCAGTGTTGCTAATTACCCTCTTGGCTTGGGAATTAACAAAATCAGTATTCTAGTAACAGATGAATCTCAACCCAACCCTGAGATTGTGAGCAGCTATATAATCACTGTTTATCGAGAAGACCGCCCAAGTCTGCCTTTGTTTGATGACTATATGGTGTGTGGTTTTGTGCAGGTACTGTTCATTTTTTTAAATTAATACCTTTTTTGTGTGTGTGTGTGTGTGTGTATACAGCCTAATTCTGATTTGTTAGTCAGAAGTAAATTGAGGGAAGCCATTGTAGAACCAGTTTCAGTGGAATGAGTTCAAGATTCTAAATCTCTAGGAATTCTCAATCCACTGATCCACCTATTGAATGAATTATGGCATTACAGCACTGTTGGTTGTGAGTGTCAATTCTGTATTTATGTATTCAGTATTGAAAACTCCAAGCTGAGTTGATATGACCTTGGTCAACCAAAACCCTACTCATAATATTGTAGCTTTCTTTGGAAGAAGAGTTAGAGTTAACAAGGTACTAATGCAGATATGATATAGTTTCTGTAGCTAAGCCCACTGGTGAAATTGATGGCAGTTCTTTTTGATGGCAATTCAGTTATACTTGCACCATGCTCAACAGTGTCCAGGACAGATATTGAGGCTATTTTTGAATGAAAAGGCAACTAGACTTGAAGACCAACACAAACAAGTAAAACCTTACTAGAGGTGCTACAGGAAGGAATGGTTGTAGCTTAGATGGTGCTTGTTTCAACTCCTTGTATAGGCAAATATAATCTGTATGTAGCAATAATGACACTTTTAAAAGAAGAAAACAAAGAGACTCTGAGGCTGCTTACAGACACAAACAAAACAAAACAGCACTTTACTTTTAGCTCAGTGTTCCCCTGAGCACAACAGTGCATGCCTAGAAGAGGCATTGTGTCAGTTTGACCCAGCTTGCCCAACTTCTGTAAAGATTGCATGTGCCAGTAGGGCTTTTTGGCACTTTTATCTAATAGCTGATTGAATCGGCTATTAGATAAAAGTGCCAAAAACCCCCACTGAAGCATGTGATCTATACAGATGTTGGGCAAGCCAAGTCAAACTGACGTGATGCCTCTTCCAGTAAATTGCTGGTTTTTGTTTTTTGGGGGTGAGGAGTTTCACATATGTCAGCAGCCTGAGGGTTTAATTTTTAATGGAGAAAAAGTGATAAAGGAACAGGTATAGGGTGTGAAACAGCCCCAAATAGTATTATGCAGACCTTTGAAGATTAAAAACTAGAAAAATTGAAACTTGATATAATGGGCCAGGGTCTGTGAGCTTTTGGGAAGAATGAAGGCTCAGGAAATTGTGACAAGCAAACAGGCAGAACTGCAAGAAATAATATTTTCCTGAACACAATATCATATGCGCAGACTGTTATTTCTGCTCCTGTCACAAGCCTCCAGTTTTACGATGTGTCTCTTTTTCATAAACACTTAATTCTCTTTCCCTAAGTCTCTCAGCATACTACAGAAGAGGCCACAGTAGTCAAAGTGGGAGATGACAAATGTGTTAGAGTATTTGTTTTAATATTGTGAAGAAATAAACAGATGAGCTTGGAACAAAAGCCAGAGACTATCCCTGTGGATAGAAAATTGCAAGGTTGTCAGTAACTATCCCAGTCCACAGAGTCATTAAAAACAAAGTAATCAGAACAAGTATATGGCAAAATTCTCTTTTCTAATCCTCATGTGAACCAAGTACATAATGTGCCATGGATCTACACTATAGATTGGAGAGGACAGCATGGTTCTCAAATTGAAATTAAATCCAGCACTAGCCACAGAGCTCTGGTATAGTACCAAAGTTTATCCTGGCATACTCAAAGTTTAACAGTCAGCTCTTCACAGAGTTTAATGTCTCTATGCCTAATCTAATCTGTTGTGAAACTATGGGATCCAGGCACAATCTCTGCTAAAATGATTTATACTTGCACATCTTCCACACTTATGTTAAGAATGCTTTCATTGTTCAAGGTCTCAAAGGCTAGGGACAGAAATTACGCATAAACTGGTATAAATGATTGGAAACTGGTTGAAATCTGTAACACAACAGAAGTTCAATGCACATAAACTGCTTTGAAAATGGTCAAAACCAGCTTAAGATAAACCTGGATGAATATATTATCAGACTTAATTTATTAAGTTAAATTGGTTTATTGAACTTCAATCCCAGATCCCCTCCAGATTCAAGTTAACTTGCAGTTCCCCAGTATCCCAGGATGCTTTGTACCTCCCCTGGAAGCTCTCCCTTTCAGGGTAGGTGAGATAGCCTTGGCCCAAGCTGTCTGCTCCAGCCAAGCAGGGAGGCATGCTCTGGTACCTCCTGGCTTCCAGCTTGGGTCACTGCAGGCATGTGGCTGCATTTCTGGAATCAAAAGTGACTGTCTGTTCACTTGCTTGTCAGGTCAATCTGTGCAGCTTACACTATCCTGCAAAGGTTTAATTGATTCAGCCTCCGGCTTTTTGACTGTCTGTACTTAGCCAAATACTCCAATGAAGATATATTGTGCAGTAAACCTTCATTTCTAAGTTTTTATGGCCTATCAATATGTTTTTCTTAGGTAGGTCTGTTCTATGTTCGGGGGGGGTGGTTAATGCTTATCCTAAGAAGTGCTTAGTTTTCTTAATCAATACCAGAAGTGATTGTGATAGCATGTCAAGGAAGAATCTATTAAAAATATGAGCACGGAAACATTTTAGGCAATGTACAATAGCAAAACAGGCACATAGCCTCAAAATAAAATGAAATATACAAGTAATGTAAAAATTGACTTTTCTGTTTTCCACTTTTCTTGATGTATACTACTTCCTGTTTTCATAATTTTTTTGTTTGAATGAAGGCTATGATTTACTTTTATAAGTGAGAAGTATATCTGGCTAGTTTATAGTCAGGAGAGGATCAAGAACTGATTAAAAATAGATTTTCAAACAAGAATCTTTATCCTTTTTTCCATGCTGTCCCTCATACCTCAGAAGTGCTCCCTTTCTCTACAAAGTGACCTCACTGTGCTCCTTCAAGATCGTTCAAGTTCAACAGCATAGTTTGCTGATGTCCTATGATCACTGCTTGCCATTCTGATTGATATGGTTTCATTATTTCCTTGTGATTCCCCATTTGTCTATATCCTATTGTTTCTTGTCTTATACTTAAATTTTAAGGTTTTAGGAGCCTATGTTTGTGGAGCGCATAAGGTAGTGGGGCTATGGTTCATGACTGGAGCTCCTACGTGCTACAGTAGTAGAAATAATAGTATCAGCATAAGTTCCATAAAGTCTAAAATCAGGTTGCAGTTGGAGGTGGCTCAGTGACGGACTTGATTTAGTAATCAGGAGCAAGTTGTAATGAAACACAAGAATAGTAATAGGTGAATATGTGTCATGCTGTTAAGAAACTAAACTTTCATCTTGCAATCAACCCCTTTATAACCCCCCAGTCTGGAGACTATATCTGGTATTAGGAACAGGAATTCATGCTATTGCATGTCCTCCCATATGAGTATTTATGCTGCTGTTAAGGTTTTATTCTCATATTTATGATCCCAAGTTAAAACCTCTCAAGTACTGTCGAGGTAAAGAGGTCTGGAATGATTAAAATGAAAAGTGCTTTGTAAGATTCTTTTGACTGAACTGTATTTGATGCACAGATGTGAGATGGTGTTTTCTAATCAATATATTACATAATTGTTCCAAGCTAGGAAGAGCTTTAATAGCTTAGAGTAAAAATGAGATGAAAAGTATTTCTGAGGTATCTCATGGTGATGATTCAATATGTGATTTTTTTTAATAGCATTTTCCTTTTAGGTATGCTGAAGGCAAACCTATCAGTAACCATGTTGTTGAATTAAAAAAAGATAAACAGTGGTTTAGAACTGGAGATATAGAAGCGGCACCCAAAGAGCCCCAAAGCATTGCATTTCTTTTTTGATTTTTTTCTATGTTTGTTAAGGCAGGCCATACAGTATTTTCTTTAGATTTATTTATTGACAGAAAACACATTTGAACAACTCTAAATATTGTAGGTATATTATGCTTTCTGTCTCACCAAGTACATCACACTTTAGCTCAGTGTGTTAATAGTTACTGATCAATGGCTTCAGTGCTTGTTCTTAGAAACCAAACACCTGTTTCAGGAGCAAAAGGATAAATACAGCGTGAACTGATGAAGTCTCCTTTGGACACTTGACTAGGCACAACGGGGATCATGCATGGGGAAGAAAAGGTCAATGACAGTGGTCTGGTCTTTCTCACAGTAAACTTCAGTTAAAATTCTAATCCAGAGAGGTTTTTTTAAACTTTCTTTTATGTTTAATCCCGTTAGGATATTCAAGTTTCACTGCAAGCTGATACCATGATGAAGGTTACAATACAAAGACAGAGTTGGGGATGTTGTTTCCAGTCCTCTAACAATTCTCATGCATTTGAGTAATCCTGGATTAAGTTCAAGGTTATTCAGTTAATAAGTGTGTAGTTCTGAGCCTTGCAGAGTCTAAGTACCAAATTATTGTCCTTTCACTTTTTTTGATAGCAGCCATAATATCCTCATTAAAACCAAATTAATGGGAGAATCACCATTTTAAGAGATTTCTGTTCCCTTTCATTGTGCATTCTGCTGTCTTGCAGCTCTGTATTACCCATTAATGAAAACATGTTGTTTTTGTTTTGTTTTTAGTTTAATTTTATGATTATTAATAACATTTGAAGTATTTGCATTTTGACTGCTGTGGCACTACTGCTATATTTCCAGTGCTGTTGTCCATATCTGTGTAAGAAATACACAATACAAGGTGGTAGAAACAAGAGATTATTTTTATAATACAGGGCTATTGGCATAACTGACCTATGAAAGAATACAAAGCAACTGTATTTACTCAAATATAAGATGAAGTCCCTCCTCCCCATCAGTATGGAGGAAGAAAGCTTACAACTGCATACAAGAAAACCTCATTAAATACATTATCTGTTGTTAAACTGCTGCCAAAAACAGTACATGCTCAGGAATGGGAAAAAAAACTATGATTAAACTACAGTCAACACAAGCATGACTGCGCCCGTCTGGCTTCAAACTCTTGCTCACGTGCCGCCTTGGTTTGGATGGTAGAGGGTATATGCTCTCCAGCTTCATGGGTTCTCTGAGGTGGGCTTCGGTTG